CGTGTGTGTTAGCTCGTAGAAAACAAGATGAATCATCTATAGAACATTTACACCAGAAACAGAAACTAAAGTCATGTCCATAAAAAATAGTTTTTCTTTTAGTTTTCCAGTAAATATCATGACGGATAACATGTGTCAAGCTCCGGCTCACAAAAATAAAAGCAGGCCCCACCCCTTTACATCAATAAACTCCTCCACCAATGACAGGCGAGGAGGGGCGGGGCCACACAGGATCTGACAGCAACAGTTGGCCACAGAAACAACACATCATGAAGACGCATCAGCTGATTGGCCGGCTCACACAGGTACAGAATTTATAGATTTATATGTTCAGGTTATATTTATATTTATGTACAGAGAGAATCCACACTAACCTGCAGATAGAAAAACTTTACAATTAAAGACAGAGGAGACGTCATCTGTTCCCAGAGCTCTCTGACTGATGTCATCCTGGTGCAAAGGATCATGGGACAGTACACAGAATGTGTGGATGTTTATGTTTAGATAAGTCACAATCTGCTTACAGAGCTACTAATTCTAAATATTAATACACTACTTGGCCAAAAGTATGTGGACAGTTAATCTTTTTTTGTGAGCATCAAAAACAATAAAATGTTGACATATTTTATTCTTTTTATCTTGAGGTGGGTCAAACAATCACATTGATCTCCAGTGTTGTTTATCATTAAGTTACGTGGGTTGTGTTTGCATTATACCAGATGATTTACATGTCGCTGAGAATCCACATTAAAGGTATAGTTCAGCCTATCTGACGTGGGGTTGTGTGAGGTGTTTATCTATAGTCAGTGTGTTACCTGATGTAGATTCAGATTAGTGTCATTTTAGAGAAGCAGTAGGAGCACCAGGACAGAAGCTGAGTGATGAGGTGCTGTGGACTGGGTCAGCAGAAAAACCTGCTTTTAAGCCACTTGAAAAATGTAATATGTGCGCTTGTGCGTAGTAATACAGTAATTCAGTGGTTGAAAAATGTACTTCCAAAGTAAAAGGTCTGCAGATGAAGTGATGAAAATATTCAAAATAAAGCAACAATTTAACTGATATTGTTGGGTATTTTTTAAAGTGGCTAAAAGAGGTTTTCTTCTGACCCCAACCACAGCAGCTCATCACTCAGCTTCTGTACTGGTGCTCCTGCTGCTTCTCTGAACTGAGAGCTGATCTGAATCTTCTACAGGTAATACACTGACTATAGATCAGTACCTCACACAACCCCATGTCAGACAACCTGAACTATCACTTTAAGATCGAGACACGACCGATGTCCAACTGCAACTGAATCTGTTCAGTCCACAATGATTGTTTTGACCTATGTCCACCCTGAGAGGAGGCGTTAACACTCAGACTCAGTGTGGACTGATACAGCTGATAAAACGAAGTGGATCTGTTCAGTGAGCTGATTGGATTTAATTCTCATTTGTCCACATACCCTTGTCCATGTGGGTTTATCTCAAGTGTAACATCAGAACACTGAGACACTGAACTAAAGAAAAAGGTAAAACATCACCGATCATCTTCAGTAGAGGTCAACTACGGTCCCAGAGAGCATTGCTGTAAGAATCATCCAATCAGAGAGCTTCAGCGTCTCTTAGAGGCTGAACTCACTAAACTTACTTTCAGATTGGTGATCAGTTCAGGTGTCGTCTCCTTGGCGACACAGCTGATCAGACAGAAAGCTCATGACAACAACAGACTGTTTCTCAGAGGGATTTACAAATATCCACTGTTATAAATGTCATGAAACGTTTGAGTTCAGAAGATGAAGTTCATGATCTGAAAACAAACTCAAACATCAAAGCTGAGTGAGGGCCTGTTTCCCCTCACCTGCAGAGCACACCTGCAGGATGAACAGACGCCTCACCTGTGAGCGAGGCACCGGCACGGGAGAGTTTGTCAGCGAGCATCATGTAACAGGTGACGCAACCGCTGTGTGTAATCTGCAGATACGCAGCGCTCACAGGTCACATCTGTGAAACAGACCCTGAGTCTGCTTTGAGCTGGAGATCATGTGAAAACTGTTGTGTTGAACTGTAGATGTAAGATGTGTATCACATTCAGCAAAGACACATAAACAAACTGGAGACCTTATCTCAGAGTCATGACCTCTATGTGTTGAGAAAAAGGGAAAAGACTCAAATATTGTTCTAACTCAAGTCTGATGTCCCACCAAAATAAAGCTATAGAGAAAACAGAGCCTGCAGAACTTCATTCAGAATCCTCCTGTTTTTAAGTTTTCCTACAGTGTCACAGAAATTCAGTGATAGTTGTCTGTACATCATGATACACTACAGACAGGAGCTGATCACAGCTGATTCAGTCAGCTGCTGTTGATCAGACAGTTTCACTGAATGGAAACAGATACAGGCTAAAAAAAAACTCAGAGAACAGCAGCTCAGACCTGTAGCTACATTACAACAGAACATATGAAGAGCTTTTACAGGCTCTTGTCGAGTATCTGCTGAATGTTGGTGTTAACATGTTTTCAAAAGATCAACAGAAACATGTTAAAACTTCCTCCATTTTCACATGAGTCAAATATCACTCTGATAAAAAGCAGCAGAAGGAAATAGCTTGGATATCCAGTTTAAAACCTGAGGACCAGGATCCAGACAGGATTTAAATGTCAGGAGCCAGTTCACAGAGAGACGGGAGGTCATGTGATCATCACTGACCAGAGCAGGTGATGTTAAAACCACAGCTGTCCTACAGACAGATCCAGTCTGATCCAGAGTCTGTGTGTTGTAATTATGTCTCCAGTTTATTTATGTATTCATTTTTCTTTTGCTGAATCATTATTTTATAAACCTTTACTACAGGTCACATTTCAAACAGGAAATCATTAGTTCACTTCACTTTAATATACGTTTTCATTGGTATTGTCATAATGTTCTTTAATAATCTTAATATAAAATAACAAACCACACGAGAAAGTGCAGTATGTGGAAGTGCAGTGAAGAACTGGGCAATAACTAAATATTTATTATTTATAATTTTATCATTCTACAAATTATGTTTTCTGAACAACCTGTAATTAACACGTTGATTAAATTAATTTAAATAAGTTATTAAAGTTTGAAGAATTCAGCCACATCTGATTAAATCACTTTTAATCAATCAACTGAAAATTAATTGAATCAATTTTGATAAGCACTGACAAACTGAGAGGGACACTTTATCTCGCCACATTGTGTGAACATTAAACTATTCAATTAATTCAGGATTGATCAATAATGAAAATAATTGTTAGCTGCAGAAGTTCTGTATATGACAGTATATACATATAATGAGACAATATTAATTTATTAACGGTCAGAAATGTTACATCTGTAAAGTTGCAATAATTTGTTTTGTATTTAACTTACTAACTACTGATTAATTACTGAAAAACAATTACACTCATTTTCCTGAACATTTATCACAATATATATTGATCAGAACTGATTGACCCTGATCAGTACTGTGATATTGTTTGACCACTCTGCCCAGCTCCGGTTCTGTAACATGTCTCTGATTAAAAAAAACATTGTTGTTCAATGTGGCACATAATTTTTTACAGTGCGCTTCAGCAGCGTCGCCTCAGGTAGCACTGAGTTTTTAAAAAAAATGGGAGTCTGGATGTTATCCAGAATGCAACGCTGTTATTCATGAATATAAAAACATTCTTCATGTTCTGCTGGTGAGAGAAATGTTAGCTTAACGTTCCACAGATGTCGGACTCAAACCTTCAGCTTCTCTGTATAAATGGCTTTTTTTCACCATCAAGCTCTGAACAATTCAAGACGCAGATATTTTTAAAACGAAGAAGAAGATTTTTTCTTACTCTGCTGCAGAGCTGAAATCTTTAAGGCTTCGTCGCTCTTTAAACTTTAGTCACAATATAAACACGTGGTCTCTGATAGAAAAATAGAGTCATGCTGTAAAGGAGAGAACAGTCGGGACACAATGGCTTGGTGCTGCGTTTATGTCACTACTGAGGCTGGGAAATCACAACGTCAGGAACTGAGATGAGGCTGAACTGTTCAACATGTCTGCAGATGTTTAGATCTTTACATCAATGTCTCCTCTTGGAGAAAAAGACTTTAAATAATAAAAACTCAGATTCGTTTCAGGATCTACTTTGGACCTGGTTCTGGGTTGATGAAACATCTGGATCTCCAAACCTACAATCAACTCAAATCTGCCGACCAACACTGACTGATCACATCAGCTGTAGATACCGGAGAATAACACTATCAGGTATCACAGGCCATGTCTTTTTATAAGTACACTGTCCTGGACTCACTGAACCGTCTTCATTCACTGTCTGAGCTGTCCAACATACAATCTGCATATATCTGCACCTGGCAGCTGGATATGTAAACATGCAGCTGTGGGGAGGATGAAGCCGTTCAGATAACGGTCCTTGTTGGATGACAGTGTTTTCTGAGAGTCCAGGACAGAGTATTAACAAGACCTCAGATCAAACAGCTGTCCAGTCTGAAAGAATGATTCTAGCCAGATGTTTAAAAGGTATAAATGGATCTGTCTCTACAAAATGAATGAGTAAGTTAGAGTAACTTGATGACTAAACAGTTTTTTTGTTCAGGTGCTTTACCACTATTTTCAATAATGAGTCAAATCAATATTAAATTAATCAAACTATTTTTATGATTAATTGTCACAGAGAAATTCTGATTCTTTCAGTTCAAATATAAGAATTTCCTTCTTTTCTGGGTCTCACATTTTAGTAAATTGGTTGGTGAGAGAAAAGACATGTGACATCACCACTGGACCAAATGATTAATCAAGAAAATAACTGGCAGATTGATGTTAATTAACAGGATGAGATGTGAACCGTTTTTATTCAGTTTAAGTTTGACTGAACCAAAAAATGATAAATGAACATCAGCTGAAACAGTCACATCTGAAAACACAGAGTTTCAGCTTCACTCAGTTCACGTTGTGTGTGTGTGTGTGTGTGTGTGTGTGTGTGTGTGTGTGTGTCAGCAGCCTTGTCGTTGCACACAGAAGCACAGAAACACGTTAACGGCGTCATCACGAGGAGCTTCAGCAACAACAGCGACCTGCAGGTCAGCAACAGTCAGATCAGGTTACCATGGCAACCACAGAGTTCAGCTAGCATCACAAATAACAACAACAACAACAACAACAACAACAGTCTTTTCAAAAGAACCATCAGAGTCTGTCCACAGACGGTTCGTTGTCACTTTGGATGCTTCAGGTAAAAACAGACGTTGATGTTGCCACAAGTGACAAAGGAGCCTCAGTGAGACTGGATGCGTGGACTCAGGTCAGCTGTTTAAGTTTAAGTTGAAATCAATACGTGGATTTACTTCACCTGTACAGGTAAATCTGAGGTGATTTGAGTCACTCAGTTGTCAGGTGATAACTTGAGACTAAAGCTTTGAGCTGATTTGCGCTGCTATAACGAGTCTGAGGATCCAGCTTCACTGAAAGTCGAGCTGCTTTCATCTTTTCATCACCTCCGCAGCCCCAAAACATCCCAACACTACCGACTCGCTTCCCACTCCTCCTCCCAAGTTTCTGTCACTCGTGTCAGTTCAAAGTTAAAGTTGAGAAGTATTTTTTCGAGCGAGGCGTCTCACTGTTGAAACTCAGATCAGTGTCTTCGCTCCGTCTGAACTCTGGATGGAAACGACATGAAAACTGTGTCGACTTGTGGCAACATCGCTGCAGATTTACAAGGCCATGAATCCGAGGCTTTCAGGAATAAAAAAACATTCATCCATCAGAGCTGCTCAACTAAAATCCACTGTACATCTGGAATGAAAGGTTGAAATTAAACAGTTAATAACCAATAAACACGTCCATCAACATTTTAAAGCCAAAGGAATGTGACTGCATGGTCAATAAAACCTTTAAATCCAAACAGTTCACTCCTGTAGAGCCACAAGACGACACTTCAGCTTCTTGAAATTCAAAGACTCTTTTAAAAATATACAATCTGTCCCATTGAGAGACTTTTATAGAGAAATACCTTGGCTGTGTAAAAACTCTGCAGCTCAGGTCCATCATCATCATTATCATCATCCTCCCTGCTCTGACTGGTCAATTCGTGATGCTGAGCAGTTCAGTCCAATAACAGGCCATGCATAAGTGTGGGAAGGCGTGGCCTTAAAAAGCGGCCAATAAGAGCAAAGCACAAACCTTACTGAGCAAAGGTGAGTTTAGAGAACGATGCTGTTTCTGTTCCAACGGGAGAAAAGTCATGTGGGAGTGTTGAAATCAAACACACCTGTTACAGTCCAGAGCCGTACAACAGTCGAGTTATATTCAAGAACCTGCAGCGAACACTGCTGGAAACAGGGAACAGGAATAAATAACCATGTTTTAAAAAACAGACAATAAGAGCAAAAAGCCCCGAAAAGATCCAGCGAGAGAGATCTGAGACTGATCCGGATTTCAGCTCTGCCCGGGTCCAGGTGTTTCCTCATGAATATTAATAAGGCTTAGGTCATTTTCATCTGATCAGGTCAGATTTAAAATAAACATCTTTCCTGTCTGAGTCGAGACGAATCCACCGGAAAACAGGTCGTCAGTCGATCCATAAAAGAATTAACAGATGTCTGAATGTTTTTCATTTCTCCAGTAAAAACTTTAAACAATCTTGTTCCAGTTTTCTGCTTCTGCCCATGTGACTTCATCATAAACTAAATCAGTTTTCAGGCGTTGGTCGGACTGAAGGAACAGTCAGTTAAAAACTATCTTTATCTACAGTTACATCATTAGTTGAAGCCCTCAGTAGAAGAAGAAAACTTGCATCCCTCCACCTCATCATCATCGTCGTCGTCACCAACTGTCTTTAAACTGTCGGCTTCTCAAGCGAGGGAAGTGGCTGAAAGAGGACGCAGCTCAGACATCCACCTGCTCTCTGGCTTAAATATTTGGCAGCGGAGTTCAGAGGCTCCGACCTTCAACAAACTGGTTTCTGGTTTCTCCAGGATTCTCCGCCAGTGAAGGGTCCCCGTGAACCATCAAACCTCCCACTCTTACCAGTCAGACGACGCGCTTAAATGGTTCTGGAGTCAGCCCAGATCCAGTTCTCCTCCAGGAGGCCAGCGGACCATCAGGTGAGTTCTGTGCCCAGTGAGGAGCTGTGTGAGGGGGGCAGGGAGCTCAGGGTTTCTGGGGGCCAGGGGAGAGGACCACAGGGGTGGAGAGACCGTCGACGCTCAGGGCCGGGATGTGGATCTGATTACTGCCGTTTGTGGGAAACTAAAGAGGGACGGAGAGATCAGTTTTTAATTTAAAAGTGTTTCAGCAACTGGAAACTTTTGAATGCACAGAAAAAGATTCAACAGAGTTGTCAGTCGAATCAGTGGAAGAACGATCGAAATAAATAAAACCTACAATTATTTATTAAACACAAGAATTTATATATATTTATATAAGTTCTCAGCTGTAAGTTACAATAGTAATTAATCAATTTACGTGACCTGGACATTTTAAACCTTTTCTGAGAAAACAGAACTCAATGTTTTTAAGACTTTTCAAGATGATATTGTTCCACAGCAGGTTCCTCTCCTCACACAGTCTCCACAGTCTACTGTGATTTTCATCATCTTACATATTAAAGACTCCATTCATTTCCTTTAATTAATTCGGAGCCAATCAGAGTTTAGTTTGTTGTCGAGTTTAAAGTTTTCTGAGAAATCTTCTTTATTTGAAACAAAATATTTATTCTGAAATGAAGCAAATATTTGTTCATTACATAATGAATTTATATTAAATTGCACTGCTATTTATTGGAGACTTTTGTTTCTTACTGTGTGTTAAATACAAATTGACACAAGAAACTGGACTAAAAACTACAGAAAGCAGGAAAATTAACCTGTTAATTTCAATAGTTCAACATGATTTTCATCTTCAGATTTTTTAAAGTGAGAGTGAAATTATCTGTGATGTCTGAACATGTCTGCTGCTCTCAGATCAGTTTTTAAAAACATTTACACACCTATAAATTTAGATCAGATTAAATCCTGTGTCAGTTTCTTTTCATTTTCTTTCATATTGTTAATCAGTAGATTTTGTCATAAACTGACAGAAGACTGAGATTTTATATAGAAGGAAAAAAATCTAATAAACAATAGGGTATGCACACACACACACACACACACACACACACACACACACACACACACACACACACACACACACACACACTTTATGTTTATCACATATCTGTTTAATCTGCTCCGAGGGTTTAAATCTGACCATTAAGCTGCTGTTTGTGTTTTATTATGAAAACTGAAAACTATATAATTCAGTGGACAAGTAAACTACAATATAAAGAACATGACAGTGAAACTTTTGTGGTTCACAAATCTCAAAGAAATTAAGTTTTAATCTGTTATCGGTGTAATCTGACTGGTCATGGTTCTTTAGGAGTGGCGGAAACACAAACAGGAATCTGCAAAGTGAGAGTTTTAAGTTCTTGGTTTACTTCCTCGTGTTAACATCCTGTAGTTTTCAGCTGCTCCACAAGGAGGCGACAACACGCCACAACGACCAAACATGAAAATACAGGGAACCACAAGAAACCTGGTTACAGCTGTTTGTTTTCTCTTCAGCACAGAAACAAACTACAGACAGTTTTTAGTCTGTCTTCAGACAACTGTCTTCAGTGGATATTGTATCTAGACCATCAGAGACTTGGTTTCTGAAGGCCTTGTTGTTGATGAAGGTTTTAAATGTCATGATTCAGTTCTGTGAGCAGCACAAACTAAATCTGACTCACTTCAGACTAGTATCTTCAAACAGACACCAGAACCAGAAACACCTGACAGGACAGAGAGCAGCAGAGGGAAGAGAGAGGATGTTGTTTGTGATTTGAGTGAACTGAACCTTTAATAAGTCTCTGTCATCAGACAACAGATGGAGCAAAAACTGATCCAGAAACCTGCAGAGACCCCAGCTCTGTGTGTGTGTGTGTGTGTGTGTGTGTGTGTGTGTGTGTGTGTGTGTGTGTGTGTAGGAGATATGAGGAATTTAATAAGATAATAATAATAAAATTTGCTGGATTCAGAGTCTGTTTAATATTCAAAAATGAACTTCATGTATTTTTGGATATTTTCCATTTATCTGCAGGGAATGTGAAAACATGAGCAACATTTATTCGTTGTACCTGTGTGATAATATCTATGAGGCTTTAACTTGAGCTGCAAACTCGTTGCACAGATGCATAAATGTGTGAAGGTGAAGAGTGAAGCTGATGTCTGTGCTCTTTGTGGTTTCAGTTAACACTGTACACAGACCTGAGAAACATGCCGTGGTTGGGAGTTAAATGTGAGCTCTGCAAACCTGTCACTTAAACACACACACACACTATACAGTCTACAAAACACAACATAGTGTGTAAAAGACAGTTCCTGTGTGTGTGCCTGGATTTGGATGTCTCTCCCTCTCTAACTGAGACTTAGTAGACAGGATTTCTGGGGTCTATTATATATGCAGACCCCCAACTGTGGCAGCAGCTGCTGCTCCAAGTATAAAAAGCAGATCAGTGACTGTAGCCTGTTTGTCTTTATCCTGGAGGTGGTGAAAGCTCTTATAATAAAATAAACTTGTTAATATAAAAATATAGATCTATTGTTCTTTTCACATTGTAAGATTAATATTGTCATTTGTCATCGTTGAAAAAAATGTGAACCCATCCTCACATAACAAGAAGCACATACATTTTTTCTGTGGAAATTGAGAAAGTAACACATAACACACAGTCTGTCTTCATTCTGTGTCAATCTATTTGTGTCTGTTACTTCACTTCCTGTATATTTTGTGTGTTTTCATGAAACCAATGTAGATTAGGTCTTAACACAGGAAGTCTTGTACTGATCAATCAGAGCTGTGGAAGCATTTTTTACTGAAGTTACTGTGTCAGACATTACAGTACAGCTAGGTGCAGGCACAGCGGGCTAGGTGCATTACCTGGAAGGAGAGTTTGGCCGGGGAGCGAGGAGCTATGGGACTGAGCGTGCTCCAGAAGTGGATGGTGGAGGGAAGAGGACTGGGAGTCAGCAGCACCGGAGTCTGGACCAACAGACACACAACAACTCATCAGAACAAAACCACAACGACAGGTGGAGCTTCCTGCAGGTCAGAGGTCGTGGTTTAAATAAATGTCCCTTCACTGGCGTCACCACCTTAACCCGTGAGGGGACCCATGGAAAAATATGTTGTTGGGCCCCTATTGACCCATACATCTGTCGGATATCAGAGAATATACCTCCACCAAGGCCAAACAACCTACACATGTTCTCAAGTAGCTTCATTTATTCACTGTCTTTAATCCTTAATGTCCAAGAAACAGATGAGTGTATTAACTAATGAAAAATGTGTCACAGGATTTTTCAGCCAGTTTCTTGCTAAAATTAAACTGTTGTCAAAAAAGATTAGACATTTGCCTGATGAAGGTCGAGCACCGAAATACTGCAAATAAATTCTCTATTGCAAGTCAGACAGTGTGCAGGATTTCTGAACTGCTGCTAAAACACATTGTATAACCAACATTACAGCCTCAGACAGACAGACTTTTTAAAATAAAAGATAGATGAAGATAAAAGATTTTTTATTACATATGAAGCCTTAAAACCTGCAGATAAGACAAAATGATTAATCAACAAAATAATCTGCAGATTAATCAATAATGAAAATCGTTATCTTCAGCTATTCTTTCAGTCTCACACACACACACACAGACAGAACAGGGTGTTTACCAGAGCGTGGGAGGTGATGACAGTCGGGGTGAGTGTGTTGGTTGCTGATCCAGGAGCCAGTAAACTGTTAACAGCTGCATTCACCTGCAGATAACACAAACAGGATGTGATGTCACAGGCTTCACCTGCAAACACACCGACAGCTGTCACAGCTGTGATGCGGGTTCAATTCCCGATCCTGGGAGCTCATTGAGTGTAATGAACTGGTAAATAATCACTAATGTGATGTAATGTGTAACCACAGTCACTGAGTGCAGGCTGCAGACCTTATCCAAGGAGAGGCCAGGAGGGAGGGAAGGGGAGGAGGGCAGCTCCAGGCCTCGTGGCTTCTTTGGTTTGGGAGGAGCAGCGTCCAAGGCGGGGGTCACAGGAGGGGTCACCGCTGAGGACGATGTTACTGGAGGGTCGGAGGGATCTGACAGAGAGAACGGTTCATTATAACAGAGAGAAACTCACCTTGGTAGGTGTCCCGAGCCCAACATAAGATTCTGTATCAGGGCCAGTCCACATATTTTAAGTGGAACAGTATCAGATAAATTAAATCTGATCCTTTACAGAACTTTACTTCTTCTGCTGCAGCTCCTTCAAAAGATCCATTTCTGCACTGAAGCATGTCACTGTGTTCTCCCTATTGTACCTTCAGTTTTATATCAATAATTTAAGATGATCAGATCTATAGTTCTGAATCAGGACCCTCAGTATTTGGATCACGTAGATGATACAAAATGAGGTGGGCCACATTTAGAAGCTGTTTTTTCAACATTTAGTATCCTATTACCTGTTAGCATGTCCTTGCCCTCCCCCTCTGCTCCCCCCTCCCCTGCAGGCTGCTGCCCTCCTACCCCGGGCTCCATGCAGGGAGGGGACGGGCTCTCCACGATGGTGAGGGGGGGCTCTGGTTGCCCCGAACCACAGATCACCTGAGGAACCTGGAGGAGGAGCAGAGAGACGTCATCAGATAAAACCAAGCCTCAGCAGGAACCAGGACTCTGGTTTCTCCTGAACCTCTCACCTCATCCACCTGTTTCTCCTCCAGAGACACCATCTCCAGCAGCTCCTCCTCTGATGGCAGGTTCTCCTCCTTGATGACGATGGGGGGAGGAGGATGGGCGGGGGGAGGAACAGAGGGAGGAGGTGCAACAGAGGGAGGAACAGGTGTCATGGCCACCTGCTGCTGCTGCTGCTGCTGCTGCTGCTGCTGCTGCTGCTGCTGCTGCTGCTGCTGTGGGGGAGGAGGGTTGATGATGACGAAGACAGGCGACGGGTGAGTTGAGTGAGGAGCAACGTGGGGCTGTGGTGGGAAGCTGGCGGGGTTGGTGACTCCCCCACAGTCGTCCTGCTGCGGCCCCTGGAGGCCCATGGTAACATGGGGGGGAGGGACAGGACTCGCGGACCCACCAACAGAACCCAGAGGGATGAGGGGGGTGAGGGAGGATGAATCCCCAACGCTGGTGAGATAAATCTGGGGAGGGTCGCCCAGAGGAGGAGCAGGAGGATTCTGGGAAAAAAAAGAGAGAAACGCTCTTGAAAATATAGGACATAGGATTCTTGATCTTACACCCAAGTATCTCCAGGATTACTTTTGCAGTGACATATGAAGTTCTAAATTACCAGAGGCATCTTTTTCAGCATTACGTTCTACAAAACTTTTCATATCAGACAACACATACACCAATACCAATATATCTGTGATAGTCCAATATCAACCAATAAAATCAGCTGATCGATTAGTCGGGCTCTAACAAACACATTTATTCTACAGGTAATTGAAAAATATCGCATTATGTGACCAATCAGGGATTGATACCCACCTGTGATTGGCTGGTGGTGTTGGCTGGTATCTGAGGACTGAGGGCGGGCGTCGGACAGGGTGACGGCTGAGTGACGATCACCTGGAGAGCAGAGTCAACAGCTCCACTTACTGACGGAGAGGATTTAGACTCTGATAATACACAGACCTGAGGATGAGAAGAACAAAGGGATCAGAGGAGGCGATATCATGGAGTAAAATCCTGCTCAGTGGGGATACACCTACACCTATATCGTGGTGTAGGATCAGTCTATATCACAGATTGGTTATTCATTCAATACTGTGATCAATCAGTTGTAGAAGGAAGTCGCTGATAAATCTGTCTTATTGCTGAAACTCAGACAGCAGCTGTTTTCCTCTGAGGACGGTGCTGATGGTACTTTTACTTTGGAAAGGTCTCTCTCACCTCTCTGGGCGTGCGATCAACCTTGGGGGCGGGGTCTTGTTGCAGTAGCAGCTCTGTTTTGATTGGCCGTGGGTTGGGTGAGGCCTGCAGTGACTGGATGGTGAAGGTGGAGTAAAGGCCAGACTTCATGTAGTCGTTCCTGGAGCTTTTCTGGGAGCTGCTGGGTGACGAGCGCTGGGGATCAATACACAAATCAATCAGTCATTCTGTCATATATTAATATTACTGTGTTTCTATGTCCTGCAGAAAGCAACAAAACAAATAAAGGCAGTCAAAGTGTACCTGGGGCAAGCCCTTTGACTGACAGGTTGAGGCAACGCCCCCAAGGCCTTTTGATTGGCTGTTTGGGTCAGTGCTGTCCCTCCTCTGGCTCTCCTCTCCGTTACGTACCCCCTCAGGCAGGGAGGGGTCAGGCTGACTGACAAACTTGTAAACAAACTTCTGACCGCTCACTTTCTTTATGATGTTCTGTGAGAAGATGACAACATAAACACAATAAAGAGATCACCTGAAAACACCTGTTTTAAATCATTTGAACCAAGTCCAAGTCAAGTCTCTGAGATGTCTCACAAAAGCAAAAAAACAAACCAAACTTTTATAAAGGAAACAGGTATATAACCAGTATCAACCGTAAGTGTCAAATGGTTCAGAGAGAACAAACAACAAAGAATTGTGATGAGTTTCGGTTTCGAACATGAGTGTCTTTAGTCTTTGAATTAAAACCAATTCATTTGATAACAAAACGAAAGTATAATTTCTCTAATCTGAATTGAGATTCTGTTGCATTCGGTTGTGGAGCAAAACAGTTTCTACTTAGGTTTTGGTGCAATCACCAGAACAGGTTCCAGATGCAAAATTATTGGTCAAAATGTGTCACATGGTTTTACACAACACCGATGATTGTGATCATTAATATGACTGATGGTGTCTGTGCAGTTTTCATCCGTGTCTGTCTCTTGGTAATTTGGTTGGTCAGTTCTTAATCGACTGAACAAACCGACCAACCAACAGACACGTACGGTCAGTCGTTTGGTCAGATCACACAAAAGGTACTGAACTGGTTTGTACCAAGCTTGGTGGAGTGATGGAAAGTGGCCCAGGCGCAGATCTGGTTTCAGGGGCAGATCGAGGAATTTTTGATCACTTTCCTTAACACTGAGAAAGAACATTTAACATTTTTGCCACTTTCTCAGGAAAATATGTTTGGATCTTGACAGACATATTTACGGTGTTGAGATCTATGTGTTTGTACAGTTTGGTGCAGATCCACATAACCATATCACATCATCATAGTCATATGTCAGATCTGGATGTAACGGTCATGTGTAGGATTGTTTGTGCTTGGCTGCGCTCTACTGAGTGCCATTCAAGTTACTGCTAGTTTTAATATTGAGTTACATGTCACATGTCTGTGTTCTTATTAAATTACAAAACAAGAAGCAGAAATATTATTCATCTGTCGTAACAGCATAGGTGCCGTTATTACAAATATTGTAGTAATAACAGCAGTTGGATTAGCAGAAGTATCAGCAGTATTACTGAAGCATGTGTCTCAATTTATCGTTGTTTATGTTGTGTGTGTTCTTGTGTTATCAGTAGTACCTTGTCGTAGTAATATCTGAGGGCCCGGCTTAGTTTGTCGTAGTTCATGTTGTGCTTGTTCTTGCGGAGCCCCCACAATCGTGCGACCTCTTCAGCGTCCAGAAGCTTGAATTCTCCATCCTCACCTGTCCAGGAGATCAGGTGACGCTGCCGCTGGTCCTCCAGTAAGTGGAGCAGGAACTGCCACAGCGTGATGGACGGGTCCATGGCTGGGGGGCACAAAGACACACATCAATTAACCTGATTTTTTTATTTTAAATGAATTGTACAGTCATGAAATACGAACAAAAGTTTGGAAAAAAATTCACATCAGAGCTTAACAGAGTCAAAGGTGACGTCTTCAAATGTCTCGTTTTGTTGAAACAACAGTTAAAATCCAAATACAAAAAAAGAAAGATTCATTGATTATCAAAATAGCTGCAGATCAACTGATCAACTAATTGATTAAATCGACTAATTTTTGAAGAGCTGATGTCCATGTTAGTTAATGTGTGCTGTCTCTGATAAATTTGTTCATCATCATGACAGAAATGTTCAGAGAGTTTTCAGAGTTTTAAGTCTGAGAAATAAACTTATCACATTTTTCACAGTCACGCTGATTGAAGAATGACAGAGAAACAAAAAGGTCTGGGATCCTATATACGAGGGGTGGGGGGCCATTTACTTTGTATGCGCAGGGGTCTATTGTCTCAAATCTGTCCATGTCTGGACCCAGATGCAACTTTTTAAAACATAAGGCTACATTTTTTTGTTTTCTTTTTTGAGGGAACATGATTCTCTGCTTTAAAGGACTTTTCCAGACTTGCAGCCCCCCCTTGTTTCACAGGCACAGTCACTGAAGTCTGTGGTATCAAAGTGCCACAGATTTAATGGATGAAGAGACAGGAGGACTGAGTGGAAAAGTGAATAAGCTCTCCAGAGCCAGTGAGTGGCTCTGTGGAGAAGGTCGGCAGTGAACAGATTACAGTGAGAGAGATGCCAGTCAGTCATGCAAATTAGTCTCATTACCATTGGCTGACCTGTTACACAACTAACCTATCAAACCCCTTGGAAACCATCGCCATGGTGAGAGACCTTTCATCAATGGTAACCAAGGGAGAAGGACGGCGGGAGCGAGAGAGGTATAAACAGAGAGAGAGAGAGAGAGAGAGAGAGAGAGAGAGAGAGATGTGAAGAGGCTGCTGCTGTTCAGTGCTGTCAGCAGTTTGTCCTGCAGGATGTCGACACAGGTGTCAATATCACCTGACAGCGGGGGTGGTTGCAGCTGTGGCTCAGGATGTATCACAAAGTTCTGTACTCAGGTCCACATGTTGAAGTGTCCTTGGCCCTGAACCCTGAACTGCTCCTGATGGTCAGACCAGTATCCTACTGTCAGGTGGTGAAAAACCAACGACTTACTGACCACGTATACACTGACACAGATATTAAGGAGGCATTAAACTGGGCCAATATTAGAAATGAATATCTACTCTCGCACTCACAACTCAAATTTAACATTAATAAATCAGTTTAAACTGACCCACACTAGAACAGACCCAACACCAAAACCACATTTAGAATCAGACTGGTAGTGGTCTGAACCAGATCAGAGGAAACCTGAACCTGATATCCGGTTTATCACACGAAGATTCACACAGGAACAGAACATGTCGAGAAAAACACATCAGGTACAAGGACGCTGCGTGTGTGTGTGTGCGCGTGCGTGTATACAGTGAATGGATGCAGCAGCTCATCTGTCCTCAAGGCCTCTGTACAACAACAAAAGGAAGTATTTTATGTTTCTTTTTTTCTTTTTTTCACACACAGACATTTACTGAGCTCTACACTGCCTCCATCCCAGTCTGACTCCAGCCATATTGGGAGGTGACCAGAACAACCATAGCTAAATCTGTGGAAAAACCTGAACGCACCATAGTCTGGGTTTGGTGATTTAATATGTGTCTGACACATTTAAGTCACAAATAAAAATACAAATACAAATACAAAACTGATCAACTTCAGTTATTGATCTGATATGAAGGGGGGCACAGATACTGTGTGAGGTGAGTTACAGTCAGACATGGTCCTCAGAGTAACTAATTGAGTCAAATCTGAACACACAGATACAACACACATGTTGATACGTCAGTGTGACTTCCACTTCCTGAGGATATCATCATCTGAAATCAGAGAAAACAGAAGCTGCAGAACTTCATTCAGAATTCTCAAGTTTTTAAGTTTCCTTCAGTATCATAGTAATATATGATAGTTGGCTGTACATGTAATGATACACTGCAGACAGGAGCTGATAACAGCCGATTCAGCCGCTGTTAATGGAGTCAATCTGACAAAATCTTGTGGTGAGGGGCACAATGGGAGTTTGGGGTACCTATGCCATTACTACAAGCTATCTGGTCCTTAATCAGTTGTGTTTGTATCCTCAGAAGAAAGTCAAGCACGTTTCTAGTCTTAATATACCTGGGCAGGCTGCCCAGGTGGAGCTTATGTATGGGAAATGCAGCGGATGTGCAGCTCGGTTACACAGAAAGATATTTCAGTATATTGCCGGCGTTTCCATCCAGACTTGAAATGACCATTTTACAACCAGCACAGTCTCTATTTTTTGACAATTCATGCAGATTAATGAATAATAAAAGAGAGTGAAGATAAAACAGAGCAGAGGGAGAGGGGAAGACTTAGACATACTAACACAAACAGAAAGAAAAAGAAAGAAGAACAAAACCACAGATGTGTTCACTTTCTCCACCAGAGAAGAGTCAAGTTAAACCTTAGTGATGTAGCCCAATATCACAAATTTTCCTCGAGGGACTTAACTACCAGTACAGCATTACAACACCCTCTGTCCACAGACCCTCTGACAGAAGCGCAACTGGAGGACTCCCTCCTCCAGGACGGACAGACAGGAGATATGCTTGTGTACAGAATAGACGATATTTCCAGGATCACAACATTATACACTGCAAACATTATTGAACAATATAATGTGGGAGGAGATCAAGAAACTTCTAGGTGACCTGGACCTAAGCTATACAACGTCCTCTCCACCACGAAGACCTGGAAAGGGGACAGACTACACCTGTATGTGTGGTTTCCTGACCACATCCTGTTCCTCTGTGGTTTCCTCACATCAGTCTGTCAGTCACATAACACAAATCTCAACTACAGCCAGACAACACAAAGAAACACCTGGACACATCCTCAAAGATACTACTGATGCTAGCCCTGGTTCTGTTAGTGCTGATGGTTCTGATTCTACTGTATCTGGACTCATCCATCCTCCCTGAATTCATCTGATCACACACATGTCACATCTCACAAACACTGTTTAACATTCACATCACAGTGTGTCAGTGTTGCCATGACAACACGTGAATATTACATCACTGAAATGGTCTCCGTGACAACAGTCAACATCATGTCTGTAATAAAGCTGGGAACTGACATTACTGACATTATTCAGTACTGGTGCAAGTTTGACTTCTGAGGTTCCGTCCAAAACCAGGTTCAGCACCACAGTGACCCTTTTATTGGTCAAATAAACAATATTTTATTGATTTTTGATCATTATTGTGGCTTTCTGAAACACTCTGACATCACACCCACCTCACTCAGTGATTGGTCAGCTGTGTCAAAGTGTAAACTTCTCTCTCAGCCCTCACAACTGAGGTCAACACTATGAATGTCTCCAGGAGAGACTGACTGAACATGCAAGAAGAAGAAAGAAAGAAGAAATTCTCTATGTATTTAAACCACATCATGGCCCCTCCTGATGCGAGGATTCAAGACTTCACTATCTTCACCATCTTGGCTACAGCCCTTGTTCAGGAGGTTAACCGAGGACAAAGAAAAACAACCTGAAAACCCAACAGCTGTAGAAGCATTCTCAGTGTGTGAGGGTGTGGACGTGTTTGAGATGAGAGAGAAAATATGTGGGGGTTTTTTTCTTCAAAAAGTTCAAAAGTGGCTCTTACAACACTAGCCAGTGTACTGTGTAATTTCATGGTGTATTCTGATTGTTCAGTTTGTACTTATAGCTGTCTCACACTGGGAGAATTTAAATTTCTATCACCATCTGGATTTTGCTGCAGCATGTCTTTGCTTCAAATCTGCAGTCAGTTAACATATCTCAGTGACCTACGACCACCGCTCCAGGCTGACCTCCACAGATTTGTTTCTCTCATGACTGTAAACTTTAGCCTCACACAGCCCAGAATCAACCAAGAAGTGTAAATAGGCCTACAGTGTCAACAGCTCTCAGGCTGCAAGTTTCTACACGCTGCTGGCAGCAGCAGCACGAAAAAAATTCAGCTCCAACCCAGGATTCAATATCGAGATAATACCTGCTTTAATATCCCACCTGTACACACACACACACACACACACACACACTGCAGGCTGCTGCAGGCCTCAGCAGCTTCCACACACCTGTTGCAATCTTGCTGCTGCTTCTCTCCAAACTGCACACAAACACACCCATGGCTGCAACACACACAAAATCAGCTGCATCCTCAAACAGCAGTATGTAAACATAGCATGAAGGAGCTCCGTCTCTTACCGTTTATCAGCGGGTGTGAATCCATCTTCAGCCAAATGTTCCGTCTTGTTATCTTCTTCCTGTCCCCCTGCAGGCTCAGACCTCCTCCATGCTGTCGTGTTGTTGTTGTGTTGTCTGTCTCTGTGTGTGTGTGTGTGTGTGTTGGGGGGGGGTTTCTCGGAGCAGGTTACAGCTGTCAGAGCCGGGCTGAGGAGGCTGAGGAGGACGAAACGTTCAGCAGCTTCTCTCCCGACCTGCTGGCGTTATGTAACCGCTCCGAGCTGCTGCCAGGCTGCCTTGCCTCCATGCTAACACTCATCGACACGAGAATTGAAAGTTACCTCAGCCCCATAAACAAACCGAGAGCACAACACACCGTCAGAACAGCACATCGACCGAAAAACCACAAAAAAACAGAAATTTACGTTTAAAAAAACTATCAACGGACGTGTGTACAGCCTTTAGCTGGACTTAACTTAGTGCTAATTATGAAGCACGGTGTTAGTCAATGTCCAACAGGCTTGTGTTAGCTTTAACTGTGAGTTAAGTCTGTTTCTGCGGATGTGGATGAAGTAAGTTGAGGTGTTTTTTCTCTCAGCTACATCTCCGCTAGATCTGTTGACAAGCCCTGATGAGAGCTAACTAGCTCGCTAACTAGCAATACTTACGCCACCAGGCTACGTTTCTTTTTGCAGTAAAATTGTTATTTTATATTCCTGGTGGACTTCGGAGCGGCCGTTTAAACTGCCGCTGACTGTTCACTAAGTTTCCCCCAAGTTCAGGGGTTTCAAGAGGCTGAAGCTGTTAGCCTAGATTGCTAACCAGCTAGCCTAGCCTAGCATAGCCTAGCCTGCTGCTGTGACAGCCCACCTCCCTCGCCGTCTTCCTCTCCCGCTGATGCGTCAGCCCGGACAGCGCTGTTACTGCGGACGGAAGCCCCAGGCCTTTGACACCGGGGAAAAGTAGTTTGTAAAGCCCGCCCCGTCGTTTATTGTCGGTGTGCTGGTGGAAGCGTCCGCCCGTGGAAACTAACTTCATCACTCAGGTGTGTTTCCCAGTTTCTTCCTGTTAGGACGGACGCCCCCTCATTGCCTTCGCTGTCAAGTTACCCACCAATAACACAGTCACACTTCCGGTGTAGCATTTCAACATAAAGGTCTGCTGAGCTTCAAGGTTCTTCCGCTTCAGTATTTCATTGCTTTAAAGTAGGTACTTGCACTATACTGGAGTATTTCCCCTTTATGCTGCTTTTTACGTCTCATTCTTATGTCTCGTCATTCTCTCATGTCTAACTAGCACTTATTATGCACTTATACTTCCTTATACAATCTCCTTGCATTTTAGATAGATGTAGTATAGATGTAGTACTTCATACTTACACCAAGGTTTCCTACTGCACTGAAGCTTACTTATGTCCTTCACTGTCGCTTTGGATAAAAGTGTCTTCCAAATGAGTTAATGTAAATTCTTGCATGTTTAATAAATACAGGTCCTGATGGACCTTGTGGATTCCCCTTCCAGGATCTGGTCTGTGGCCCGAAGTATCATTATTGAAGAAATAGCACATTATACATTGTACACATACACCATGGCACCAGACTGTGGAAAGAAAAAAGATGTATTAAGATATGACTGAAAAGTTATGTGAATAAATCTTTTTTTTTTAATGTTGATTTTATTCAGCAATTTCATTACCAGCAGTGACCTCAGGGTCTTGCTCAGGAGGTTCAGAGCCTTTTACAGGTCTTTGTTCAGGGGCCAATTGTCTCATAATCTGTCCATGGCTGCAGGACATTTGAAGTTACAAACAGCTGCTATTTAACGATATTATTTCATATTATAATCATTTTAGTTGTTTGGATTTATTTGTTACCCTAAATAAATAATATAATTGTGAATCATAATCACTGTCATTCTGACCAGTTAAAATGTATTTATAGATCTTTAATTAGCATTAGAAACTTTATCACAATATTGAAAAAATATTTGTAACCATTATCCAAACACAAATCAGTGAAATCTCAGAAACATACTGTATGTGTGTTAAGATATAAAATATTAGCTATATACTTGAAAAAATACTTGTGAAAAATCTGAACAATTATTAGTAAAATATGTGAACCATATCAGCTTACTAACAGTGAAATTAATTTGTTGATATCTAATATGTAATTAGGTGAGAAAAATGTTAACAGGGCTAACCTGCTGACAGGACTCAGACCAGTTTAAACTGTGTCAGTGAATCAGCTCCACTCATTCACTCAGTCATGTTTCTCTTCATGAACATTCAGCTGAGAACCAAATTGAGCTCAGGAGGCGTTTCTGTGTGTGAGTCTATTTCAAGAGTCATCTCTCAGCTTCTTACGCCACTGCCTCTATTTAGCATCCAGTTTCCATGGCAACACGCTCTGTGTTGTTGACTGAGCATCTCTGATTGCTCATGTTTTCATTACTACAACTTTATTACTCCTGGTTCAACAGTCAGCATCTTATTTCACAGTTCTGTTGAACATCTGTTCACTTTTTATTGAAGCTGGAAACAAACTAATAATTACAGCTCAGAGTACAAGTCCAAAAGTATGTGGACAGCTGCAGCATGTTCTGCTGTAACAGCCTCTGTTCTTCTGGTTTCAGCCCCCCTTTCAGGTCTGCAGTGACCCACTGGGGAGGCTTTAGTCTTTCTGCTGAAAGTCCATGTCTGTTACAGACCAGATCCTGAAGCATCCTTGCTGAGCCCTGATGCTGCAGTGACCAGGTCGAGTATTTAAAACTGTCCTGTGGTCATCCAGCAGTGACCAGGCTGAGTATTTAAAACGGTTCTGTGGTCGTCCTGCAGTCGGCCAACAAGTGGAACAGTTTACAAAACGTCTCTTCCTCTGCTGTCTGGGAGGTCAGTCAGTCCCTGCAGCTCCCTCAGGCCCTGAGGAGGAGAAGAAGAGAGCAGCCAATCAGATGTCTCCTAAAATTGCTGTGTATGTTATAAATATTTGTTTAACATTCAAAGAATATTAGTGCAAGTAAAACAATCTTAGTAAAATGTCAGAAAAATATGAATAAAATATTTGAAAAAAAGAAAAATCAAAACTCAACTATTATCATTATTATAATCATTATTATCCTTATTATTTGTTAATTGAAAAGTGAATAGTGGATTAATCAGTAATAAAAATAACAGCTCTGAATCATAACTAAATTATATGAAATTGATGATCAGTAATCACCAATAATCAAAGATTATGTTTTGTCTTTAAAAAACAAACCAACCTCAAGCACCATGCGGATGTTGGCTTTTATTTTGGCAGAGTCTTTGGTGAGCTGCTCCGTGAAGCTGAAACACACAATGTTAGCATGGTTAGCATGTAATCAGTCATACCAAAGGACACAGCTAGTGTTGAGCTAAGACACAACTGAAACTGACACTCTTTATCTCTTTATTCTTTTTATAATCTTTTTTCAAACCCTCACATCTTTATTTTAATTTCTTAAAGCTTCCAAACAAGTCTGCCTGCAGATATAAAACCTCAGAAGAAGAATGAATGACGCTGTAACTCTTGTCCTGTTTTATGTGTGTGAGTTCAGATTGAGATGATGAACTGACGCTGTGAGCTGATTCGTCTTCTTCTCGATGAAGCGCAGAGCTTCGTCATGATTCATCTCCACGAAGAAACCATAACCGACCGCCACAAAGATCCTGGACGAGTCCTCCCTGACACACAGGCGAGAGGGTGGGGTCAAAAACAATCTAATGTGAGCAGCACAAAACTTAAGCAGTCAGATATTAGCAGGAAAAAGATGATATCAATCAGTCAATCAGTCAAATCAATCAACTTGTGATCTTCAGAAGGAGAGCAGGTTGAGCAGCAGTGAAACAGAAACAACAAAACTTAAAGTTCACAAGTTAAACAAGTGATAAATATGTTAAATATGAAAATAATAAAACTGTTAAATCTTCAGATTACTGATAACCTGATTCAGATAACCTGTTTACTGACAGATGACAGAGGGTTTATATCTGTGTCACTTCACGTGACTCTAACCGACCAACAGGGAACAGGCTCAGGAACCCAAGAGGTCTGGGGCCCGAAACGTCCGGGTCCAGACTCTAACAGGTGACCAGAAGACCTGAAACTGCTGATGTAGGTGATCACTTCTCTTTTAATTAATTGGTGGAGACAGAGACGGGCGGATGGTAGTGTGTTGTCATGGTGATATGACCCCACTGTCTCAGTGATCAGTGTTATGTTTGTAATTGATCAGTATTGATGGAGTCTATCAGAGTGATGAGAATATCAGCAGCTTACACTTCAGCCTGGACGTAGAAGTTACAGCCCAGATCTACATCTGTCTTCAGCTGCTGAGAGCCCGACTCCTGCGCACACACAGACACACAGACACACAGACACACACACACGCATACACGCACACACACAAAGAAAAGTTTCTCTCTCTTGCCATTTGGGTTTTATTTTCCATCTCATTTTACATGAATGTTTTTAACATGTTTCACGTGAAACACTTGGTTCATGTCATTTCAGTGTGTGTGTGTGTGTGTGTGTGTGTGTGTGTTTGTGTGTGTGTACCTGCAGGCTCTGTATGGTGTTTTTCAGCTGCAGGTACTGAGAGATCTTCTCATAAACCAAGTCTCTCTGCTCCAGCACCTTCCTGCAAAACATCACACACGTGTTCTTGATCAGTTTCCCCAAAATCACAAAACAACAAAACAACATGTTCAGTCTCTTCAGTCGTCTTGGGTGTGGAGTCAGGTCATTTTTGTTTTGTGTGTCCAGGGCCCAGTTTCCTGATAACGATCCTACAAAACACTCTCATGTTTCTATGACTGTTTCCAAAAGCAGGGTGTCAGTATGAACCTGGTTTCTCACATCACCACTGCTCTGGAGTCAGTTATCAGCTACTGGAGAACTAACAAAAGCTTCATTCATGGTCACTTTTACACAAACACAGTTTGTCATATCAGGTTTTATATGTGGAACAACAGGGTCAACAGTCTGCGTTAGTGTGAGCTGCTGTTTCCTCCAGTTCCTCTGATCAGCTGATACTGGCCTGAGAAAACCAGAAGACAATTAGAGAAATATCCAACATGGTTTCAGAAGAAAATTTATCAATAACAATTAATAATCTGATTAATAATTTCCACTGGATCTGACCTCAGAAACATCTAATAACAAATACAGGTAAAGAAATCTATTTCAAGTTCTTACACAATGTGACCACAATGCTACCAAAACACACAAAGAGCAGGGTGTTTACACCTGGTGTCACTGGTTACACTTTAGAAATTAAGAATAATTTCATATTCAGTCTGGATTTTCAGTGAGGGAGAAGTTCATTTTAAGAATTTATAACCAGATGTTTTTTATGCAGCCATTCAACAGTCATCAGCCTGATGACAGATGGTGACAACAGGGAGTCCAGAGACCTGATCCAGGCCTTTGTGGACCAGTGCCAGCAGAACCGCCTCCAGATCAATGCAGAGAAATCCATGAAGCTTGTGGAGGAAACACTCCACTAACAACAGTGAACATCCAGGGAATGGACACAATACGAACACACTAGACAGCAAAGAACAGAGCAAACTCCGTCTGCTGAGGAGACTCGGGGTCTGACGTTCCTGTGGACTATCAGTACGATGGCCCTGAGAGCTCAACGCACTGCAGCTTAAGAAAACACATTCAAACAGACAAAAAGCAAACAAATTCAGGAAACTTCTTCATAAGTTTGACAACACGTGAGCTGCAAATACTCACAACACAACAGAAGTGTTTCCAGGGGACACTACAACAATACGTACAATATTTTATGACTTTCGAAGTTAAAAGCTTTGAACTACAACTGTGTCCCGGCCGACAGTAATACTTAGACTGTAACAAACCCTGTGTAATCTGCTGGTGTGTTTCTTACTGTAAATCTCTTCTCAGAACATCATTGATGAAGTTTTCATACTGCACAACCTTCTGCTCCACGTTAGCATTAGCATTGGCATCAACCGGCAGAGACATCGTCAACGTTTCCTCTTCTGTCCGTAATGAAGATGAACCCCGGCAGCTGAAACCCGCTGATTGTCTCACTGGTGTTACGTTAATGTTTCTGACTCGGTATCGACCCACTAACTGTCCGGTTAACTTGCCGAAACCGCATGTAAACACACGTCTCTGCGCCGGAAGTAATTCGCTGTGACCGAGACTGCACTTCCAGTTTTCAAAATAAAAGCAGTAGCACACAGAATTAGAGTAGATAGAATATAAACTACTTAGATTTCTGCAATATCAGAACAAATAGTGTAAGCAGTTGATATTATATTTTGTTTGCGTTTTATATATCGTATTTTTGTTTGTCACTTGATCAAAATATATCTGGTAACTATATGGTCCAAAAGATTAAAAAAAACAAAAAAAAAACAAGTTTATTGAATCTAGTTACAGGAAAATGCCAACACATTAATAATCAAGACTATTCATATCATTTCTATTATCATGGTGTTTTTAAACTACAGGCCCATTGACAGACTGTGCAAAATAAGAATTATTTGGTGCAATACTTTGTTTATTAAGATAAAAACAGACACAGATTTAGTAAACATGGATAATGCACAAAGACTGAGGTGGCTGTTTCCATATGAAATATCAGATGGTCAGCTGAAGGGTTTATCTACATAAACTGTAGAGATGTAACAGTTATTCTCAGAGTATAGTTTATTCCAAATCTTTTATAATGTTGTGTCTTCTAAATGAGCTCTGTGATGTCCAAACAAGAAATAGTAACTTCATGCAAAGGCTCTGGATAAAGAGCTCCCTTGACCCCCCAGGCCCCTGGGCCTGTGCTCCATAGTCCAGGTCATGTTAATGGATTAATTACATTCCTATGAATTATTGTTAAATAGCTGAGTCTCGACAAAAATGTTATAAATATCAATAAATTATTGTTCAACATAAATAACTGTTGGTCTTACTGTTTTCTGTCATCATTTAACCGTGATAAAAGTGTTAAATTAACCCACATCTCATAAAAACTCTTAATCTTTTAACTGAAGACATTAACTGTGTCTGAAAACTGATGGACCGCCAGGTGACGGACAGGTGAGTCTCTTCTACTCGCTCCGGTTCTGCGGCAAGACTATTCTCGTGACGTCACTGTAAACAAACATGGTAGACCACTTACTGCTCTGTGGTTATCGCTAGCTTACTTAACATAAAACTTCTTTTTTTTAAATCCGGAACAAATGTGTGTGTTATGAAAGACGTTTCTTTAGTTTGTGTATGTGGCGCGTCAGCAGCAGGGTAGAGCAGACGAACATTAGTTGTCGTTGAATCTGGAGTTTTAGCTGTGTTAGCTTAGCGAGTAGGTTACCAAGGTAACGTTAGCCAACCATTAGCTAATGCATTTCAGGAGCTGTTGGTGTTTTCTTTTCCAAAAATAGATTTTTCTTTGAAACAGGTTGATTATTTAGGGTTGTCTTGTATACCGAATCAAAGCACACAATGATCTTAATTAATTAATCTGGATTAATGTTAATAACCGTATGTGTTATTGAGCCGATAAGGGAAAAATCAGTAAATCACCAGATTTGTGAATGAAATTCCTGTTTCGCTTCAGTAAATCTGATTTTTGGCTTCTGCTCCTCAACTGGAAACAACAACACACCACTTCCGTTTTAAAGTCAGGATTTCAGATCACAGTTTTAATAGACCAACATCTGAGAATCAAGAATAATGAAACTATGTTGGCCCTCCTGACTCCAGACAAATGAAATGAAGTTACATTATAGTACAAACGAATCAGGTGCAGTTCAACCTGAAGGACATGAAACAAACCGATGCTCACTGTTCACATTTAACAAGCAGCTGTGGCAGAACTTTACCTCAATTCAATTCAGTTTACATAAGGAAACAGTCTCAACAAGACTATAGATCTGAACAAACTCTCAGTGCTGGACAGTTTTTGGAGACCCAACTCAGTCAGGACTGGTTCACTCTCAGACCTGTATCCAGTGAGACATGGAGCAGTACAGTATTCTGGGTCGGATTGGAGAAGGGGCCCACGGCATTGTCTTCAAAGCCAAACACATCGAGGTAACTGCCCAACAACAACAACAACAACTATCTATTATTTATGTTCAGAAATAACGGATGAGTCAATTAATCAATTTGCAGATCATTAATGTGTGCACATGTTTAATTGTGTTGTTTTATCAATGATGGATGTATTGATTATGCTGTATTGATCATTGTCTGTCAGACAGGAGAGACAGTGGCTCTGAAGAAAGTGGCTCTGAGGAGGCTAGAGGATGGCATCCCCAACCAGGCTCTGAGGGAGATCAAGGCCCTGCAGGAGATTGAGGACAACCAGCATGTGAGTACAAGGGGATGTAAGGTCAGAGGTTAGGTTAACTTTACACTCATTCCTCTTCCTCCTCCTCTTTTTCCTCAGGTAGTGAAGCTGAAGGATGTTTTCCCTCACGGTACTGGCTTTGTCCTGGTGTTTGACTTCATGCTCTCTGACCTGTCTGAGGTCATCAGGAACTCCCAGCGACCTCTGACCCCGGCCCAGGTCAAAGGTTACATGATGATGCTGCTGAAGGGCGTTGCCTTCCTGCATCACAACAACATCATGCACCGGGTGAGAAGCTTCTGCCTATCTCTCCTCCCTTTAACACACACACCCTGACCCTCTGCAGTCACATCCACTCATCATCATCATGTGTGTGCATGTGTGCGTGTGTGTGTAGGACCTGAAGCCAGCAAACCTCCTCATCAGCTCCTCAGGTCATCTGAAGATCGCAGACTTCGGTCTGGCCAGACTGTTCAGTGAGCAGGGAGAGAGGCTGTACAGCCACCAGGTGGCCACCAGGTAACAGACTGAGCCCTGCATCATCATACAGTCAGACACAGAGCAACACGTCCTACTACACTGCAGCCTGTTTTCATGAACATACCACTAAATCTGAGAACACACACACTGTCGGACCAAAACTAAACAAGAGACCTGAAATCACCACAAAAACAGCAAAATAAAACAACATCAGAGTCTGAGGCGAACCAGCACCTGTTGATTTTATGTGGTTCTCGCCAGGTTCACTGTTCAGTTATATCCCTTCATATAGATCCTTTGTCAGTATTGTTATTGGGATATTGTTATTTTTGTGGTTTACTGTTGTTTTCTTTTTATATTCTGAATTACAGAGCAAAGTGTAAACCTTGTGTGTGTGTGTGTGTGTGTGTGTGTGTGTGGTGCGTGTGTATGTGTGTGCAGGTGGTACAGAGCTCCCGAGCTGCTCTATGGAGCCAGAAAGTACGACGAGGGAGTCGACTTGTGGTGAGAAAACTACAACTACCTCTCATCTTAATACTGAAAATGAAATGAAAGTACTCACTACTACTACTACCATACTGTTACTACTAAAACTATTCATATTGTTTCCTGTGGCTTTGGTCACTTAAAATTCAGAATTGACTGTTTCCTCAAAATTACAGCTAAACTGGATGACCCTATAAATATATTTTATGTTTCAATTGTTACCTGATAATGTAGCATGAGGTTTTCATGTGTAGTCCACATTATTTTTTTTACCACCATTAAGACTCTTTTATTTTTACTCTGTTTAATAATCTTGATTTTACATGATTCCTTATTTGACTCCAGGGTTCACAGATTAACTCCACATTTACACTAACCTTTATTAACAGGCACTGTTCCTGTTAAACTGGTGGCAGAACCATGTGTGTGTGTGTAATGGTGTAGTTGTAATTCATGGGAGAATATGACTACATTTATTCTAGTACAGTACTTAAATAAAATCCAGAGGAATGCTCTACTTATAGATTTTCACAGCTACATTTCAGAGGGAAATATTGTGCACATATTGAACAGATTTCTTCAGCCCAATGATTACATTTATTTTAATACTTACAAATAGGTAAATATTGCTTTTAATTCTTCAGTACATTTATTTATGTCATGCCAGACTTAAAATAATGAATAGATAATGTTGTGCAGCCCTCAGAGCTGAGCAGCAGGGGGCAGTCTAAAGCCACAGCTGTACTGACTGTGTGATAACCTGGTCCGGTATCAGGCAGGTTTACAGAGGAAAGAGCAGCAGGTGAGACGTTCTGTCTCTGTTGTAACAGGAAGTCTCAGGGTCAAAAGATAAATCAGACCTCTGTAAATGTGAATCCTCTGCGCACTGTTGATGTCATGAATAAAGTTTAAATTTGTGTTTCAGGGCAGTGGGCTGTATCTTCGGGGAGCTGCTGAACTCGTCTCCTCTGTTTCCTGGAGAGAACGACATTGAACAGCTCTGCTGCGTACTCAGAGTGCTGGGTACACCAACACAAGAGAGCTGGCCTGTATGACACACACACACAAACACACACACACACACACACACACACACACACACACACACACACACACACAGAGTTATGATATCTTCAAGTGTGATCACTGCACAGTGTAATTCTACTGATAATAAATGTATGTTTCAGAGACTCAAACCCCAGAACAAAAGCTTTACTGTCTCAGACTCTTTTGACTCTGTTATGATTATAGTTTGAACCTAAGCCACACTTCATTTATTCAATTATACCTGTTTGAATTTCTTTAGTTTCTTTAGTGTTGTTCCAGGTAAACCATATGATCCTAAAGCTGCTGTTTAAATTAACAATATGAAATTATTTTTTGTTTTCTAATTGAAGTAGATGTGAGAGATGACACAGACTCTCCCTGTCTCTCTCCAGGAGATAGTGGAGCTCCCAGATTACAATAAAATCACCTTTAAGGAGAATCCAGCGATCCCATTGGAGGAGATCGTCCCTGACACGTGCCCTCAGGCTGTTGACCTGCTCTACAAGTTCCTGGTGTATCCATCCAAACAGCGCTGCTCAGCCAGACAGGTAGGAAACAGGAAGTGGACTTCAGGTCTGTGTGATCCAGAGGTAGGAGTTCCTCAGGGTTCGATCTGAGATCCCCTCTTCTTTGTTGTTTTTAGCGTATCAGTGTTTTTATTGACGAAAGAGTCGAGAAACAAAAGAATCATATCATTCCAGTTCACTCTTTCTGGAACCTTAGAGGTCTCTGCTGATATTACAGGTGTTAATTATTGAATTGCATCATGGGAAGTGTAGGATCCAGTGTTTTTGGAGTTCGACCTATTCTAGAGACTAAAAGCCAGGATCTCTCCACCTCTGCTGCTCAGATTCTGTTTTAATCTGTTTCTCACAACAAAAACAACATGTTTTCCCTGTGGCCACACACTTTTACACCTCAAACAACAGGAATCACTTTTTTTACTTTCCATTCAAGTCTTTTTATGATCAAACTGTAAATGTGGATAAAAACCAGGTGGATGGAAACAAACTTACTGAAGCACGAGAGTGACTCTAATTTATCAACAGAATATTATTCAACAACAATTCTAATAATCAATCTTTCAAATCATTTATCAATAAAACACTCGGTCCAGTTTCCCCAGAGTCATTTTCACTAAACTGAGTCTCTACAAAGTTGGACATTTTCCACAGTTTCCTGACATTTGACAGATGAAATGAATAATACTAGTGAAAAATCCCCATTAGAATTTTCTAAATATTGATTGATGAAATGATTGATGAATTGATTGACATATTGATTGATGAATTGATTGACGTTACTCCTGGTCTCTCATCCTCTCTGCAGGCTCTCCTCCATCCATACTTCTTCTCCTCTCCTCTCCCCGCTCACCACTCAGAACTGCCCATCCCTCAGAGGGGGGGCCGACCCCCCCGCCAACGCCTGCAGGCTCCGCCCACTGACTTCTCAGTGGACCTGCCCCTGCAGAACAGTGTGGTTGACCCTGCGTTGCTGCAGGGACATGCATCCTGCCTCTGAACAAACAGATGAACTGACCAATCATCTCTCTCTACACCTTCTTCTACACTTTTATCTGTTGATTTTATTTATTTATCGCGTGTTTCACTGAAGTGTTCGTGTTCTTGTTTGTTTAACAACTTTAAATAAAGTTGACTGCAGGTTTTTTGCTCTTTACTCACCTCCCAATTTTCAGTAAAAGTAGAACTGCAGTGAAATTATAATAAACTGAGATGATAATTTAATATGACATGAAAGGTTTAATTATGAAGTCACCAAAATTGAGTGTGTGACAGATGGTATAAGGAAAGTGAATGTTATTGAACTCCTCTCAGGTTCAGGTTCAGGATGGAGCTGGAAACCAGTCTGACAGACCATTTTAAACAATGTGTCAGTGATAGTATCAGGGCCCTGCCCTTCATACATGGAAGTGTCCACATCAGACTGATGATGATTTGAAGTCTGGATCTTCTGGTTCTTTGAAACTGGAGCTTTTAAAAAGGTTCAGACTGAATGACAGTTACAGATCTGATTTTATATGAGAATCTGCAGGTTATTGAAAAATCATCATGATTATCTGTTATCTATCACATGGCCACATCTCCTTTCAAAGAACCAAAGAACCAAAAAATCCAGACTCATGTCAAATTTTTATCAAATAATCAATGCAATAAAAAATTCAGTTGATAGAGTTTCACTTGTCAAACACTGAGGGAACCAGCCCAAAGTCTGTCACCACCCTCACTTCCTCCTCCTCCTCCTGCTCCTCTGTCACCTCAGACCAAGAGTCAGACTCTGTTCTTCATTCAGACTGAGCTGACTGAGCAACTCTTCTTCCTCTGTGAGTATCATTTTCATCAACATCACTGCGGGTTTATCATTGTTCTCAGCTCACAGAAAATGGAACAAACAGCTGATTTAGTTCGAAAACGTTTTTCTGTTAATGTTCAGAAGAGATTTAAAACTGATTTACCTTTACAGCCTCTCTCTTTCTTTAACTACCTAATTGTGTTTTATTCATTTTTTCACTAACAGAGATCCTGTGTGAATAGATGAGCTCTCACTCCTGTTTTCTTTTCCCTCCTCTGACACAGTGACATCAGACTGTTCCCAGCTGGTCGTTTGCTGATATGACGACTCGATCTGAAACATCAGGCTTCAACACAGAGGTCAGACTCACTCGTCATGTTCACTCACTTCTGCCTCTGTCACAGTGACACTGTGGTGCTCTGGTACAGATGTTCACATGTTTCATCCAGCTGAACTAAACATCTGCTCCAGGTCAGGAACCAACACACTTTAGGTTTCTGGTCTGTGGAGGTCTCTGACTTTAGTGACTGAGGTTCTAGTTGACCTGCTTCTACGATTCAGAGAAAAGCTGTTATATCCATGTCCTACTTCAGTACCGCTCTCTCACCTGGGGCCGGGTTCACAAAGACAAATAATTCATCCTAAATTCATCCATTGCACAAAGCACTTTAATTTTGACTATCTTAAGTGGGTCTGTGTTACAATGAATTCTGGGTAAATTAAGACTTTTTTCAAAATAAAAAAATGGCTTACCGGGAATCGCATCCAACCACCCAGCTCCGTTTATCCCACCAGAGGAATCTAACAGTTACAAGGATGTTTCACTTTAAGAGTGAAACAATAAAAAGAAAAATTTGATTTGTAAAAAAATCTCTGTGGACTCTAAATACTCTTTCCCTTCTCCAAACAATGCTAGAAAACCACAAATTGTGAGCCATGTTTTCCTGTTTCTTGTTGTTGGGTGCTACTGCTCAGCGCAGGTGTCATTGATTGTTACCATGGTAACATTGGTCTTAGGCCTGAGTTAGTCTTGGGGTAAGGTGTCTAATGTTTTTGTCTTAAAATGAGTCAGTCTTTATTGTTGTGAAACAGTCGGACAAACATCGGACTAATCTATGAGCAAAATGAATACTGGACCAACACTACAGACGAGTCTGAAATATCTCTGTGAAACCAGCCGCTGGTCTAAACTAAGCTATAAACCAGTTACACCTCACCCAGAACTCTGCCGCTACCAGAGTGATGATGAGGACCAGAAGTGGAGAACCCATTACACCTCTTATAAGGTTCTTATATTGGTGATCAGCCAGAGTCCATAATGACATTAAAGTTCTTCCTGGTCTTGCAGCAGCTCACCTGTCTGATGTCCATCCAGTCCATGAGCCAGGACTCTCTCAGGTCTCATGAAACACAAATAGATATTCACTATTCTCCTTTGCAGGTTAACCCGACTCCTTCACACACCCTCCTCCAATCACCAATCATGTCCTATGATGCCAGTCACCATGTCATGAGTCCTTGTCACTGGTTGGACGACTCAACTCAATCACTGAGCTCTGCTTACATCACGCCTCCTCCTTCCTCATCATATGGTGATCCTGCTATGACCACGCCCCCCACCTGCCTCCTCTCCTCAACACCTGGATGGAATAGTTACTATGGCAACTTTTATCCCTCCCCCTCCTCCACCCCATCTGGTGATTGGATGTTACCCAGCAAGCTGTCATGGGGGCCGGATGGTCTGCCAGGTGAGATATGTACCTGTCTGAGCTACACCTGTGTGCTCTCGGTCAGAGGATGTTTCATGTTGTTGTTGGTGTGTGTGTTCAGAGCAGCGTGAGTGTGTGAGCTGTGGGACAAGCAGTGCCCCCCTATGGAGGAGAGACGCTGTCGGTCGTCACTTGTGTCACACCTGCAGCCTCCAACAGAAGACCAGCAACAAACCACTGCTGAGACCAAAGAGGAAAACTGTAAGATACATACACCAGTCTTTGCGCTAAGCTAGGCTAACAGTTTCCCCCTGCTTCCAGTCTTTGTGCTAAGCTAGGCTAACAGTTTCCCCTGGTTTGTGTTCTCAGATGGTGACTCAGAGAAAAGGGACTCAATGTGTGAACTGTGACACAGTAACAACAACACTGTGGAGGCGAAACACTGCAGGAGAACCAGTCTGCAACGCCTGTGGCCTGTACTACAAACTACACCAGGTACTGCAAACTGTACTACAACTGTACTACATACTACACCAGGTACTGAAAACTGTACTACAAACTACACCAGGTATTACATCAGGTACTATGACTTTATTACAGAGTACACAGAGTACTGTTGTTGTGTTTCAGGTCAACAGGCCGCTGACGATGAAGAAAGATGGAATCCAAACCAGAAACCGTAAAGTGACCAGTAAGAAGAAGATGAGCAGGAGAAGCAACAAATCAGAGAAAAAGCAGTCAAGGCTGGCCCCTCCCACTGAGGAGGTCACCTTTCAGTCCTTCACACAGCTGCTGCCCTGTGACATGTGCACCTCCTCCTCCTCCTCTCTGCAGCTCTGCTGAACATCAGCTTTGGAACTATTTTCTCTTTGCTCACAAAATTATAGATCTGAGGAGCTGTAGCACAGAGGCATTGGGTGGATGAATACACCTTTGCGAAGTAGTTCCAGTTTACTTAACACAGGCTCCATCTGTTGTTACTGTTGAAGAAAGTTTGTTTTTGTGTGTAAAAGTGTTTTGACTTGTTACTTGTGCAGAGTTTGTTTATTTCTAATTAACCTGTGACCTGCGTCCTTCACACTGCAGCATTCATATACATGTAAAATAATGACATTCTAGTCGTGAAGTATGGTATCCAAAATCCAGTTGTCTGTTCACTGTGTTCACTGTGTCTGTGAATCATTTCTTGATCTGTCTGTGTGTATTTACCAGGTTTGAATAAAAAGTTGCTAAAGAAGCTTGAAACTTGTGCAGACAAGTTCTTTAAATCTGGACACACACATAATATTATAGATGACTGTTAGTGTTTTAGTGGCATTTAGACTTTATAAAAAACATGAGCAGCTTGACTTGACAAAGGCCACAACACTGAATCTGAACCAACACCTGAAAACTGAGGTTTCTGAATTTGATGATTATTATAGTGATTAAACTGAAACTGACACATGATCAGAGACAAGATAAAAAAAATAACATGAGAGATGAAAACCAGATGAGCAAAAGAGACAAGGTGTCACTGCTCTCACTGTCAGTCAGTCAATAAAGAGCTGTGTGAGATAGATTCATACTGAGAATATTAAAGATGTGACGTGTCCTTCATTTCTCTGTTCTCTGACTGCAGCTGTCTCACAGAATGGAGACACCGAAATATCACCGAACCTGAATACAGCCCTGAGAACTGTGAGGAGGGGGGAAATCCAGTAGCTGGGGGAGGGAGAGGGAAAGGGGGTCTCATGTGCACATTGACAAACATCTTTAAACACAGCTCACACTCATCTGTATTAAAGCTGAGATCAGTGATTTGCTGAAGCAGAATAAATGACTGAAGCAAACAGGAAGTGAGCTGGAAAACCAAAACCAGGAGCTAAAAGAGGCTGAGGAGCTGCACACACACACACATTCACACACACAACACACACACAGACAGAGCAGCTGTAACAGAGGCCTCAGGCTGTGAACGAGCATCATGTGTGACAGTGAAGGCAGCATGTTGGTATCACTGGTCTGATTCTAACTCCCCCCCACCTCAGAGCCCCTCAGGCTGCCTGCTGGAGGCCGATGTTGTGCAACGCAGGAGGCTTCTGGTTTTCCGGACCCAGAAAAAAAGGCCAAGAGAGGAAAAGGGAGATGAAGAGGGGACGGTTAGTGGTCTGAGGCCGGCCAGAGACTCCCTACCTCTCTCTACCACTGTCTCTCTCTCTCTGTCTCTCTCTCTCTCTCTCTCTCCCTCTCTGTCGGTAATGGCAAAGAATGGCTGTGTATGACACCAGGAGATTAGCAACCACAATACACACACAAATATACATACACACAAGGGTATCCGTTCAGTCGTTAGTACTGACAACACACACACACACACACACACACACACGCACGCACACACACACGCACACATACACACACACACACACGCACACACAGACACACACGCACACACGCACACACACACACACGCACACACACACACGCACAGACGCACACACAGACACACACACACACATGCACACACACACACACACGCACATACGCACACACACACACACACACACACACAGAGCAAACGGTTGGTTCAAGGCTGAGAGACGTTGAACACATCAGACCACAACCTAA